TCTTAATTCAAAGCAAAAGAACTTGCCAACCAAATTCTAGATTGAATGAAATGAATATAAATGAGGTATTTACTGGATAGATACTATGCTGGATTCATATCTATCCGTATAGAACTGTACCTACCAACTGGCCCTGTCGCAGAACGTTACCAAGTTCTTGCAGAAAGATTTTTTGTTTGGGAAGTAAAAAGTTTTTTTTTTTTCCCTGCAGAAATTTTCGTAAGATTTTATCTTTTCTACAAAACTATATTCAAACGATGCCTTTCTTGTGCATCAGAGTGGAAAAAAATGCTTGTGATTTTTCTATTCTCATTTGAGAAGAATTAAAAATAAAGAATTATGACGTAAAAGATTTGGCTTCCTTTTCTGCAGAAATTTTCGTTCAATTTTTTTTTTATGCAGTTATTGCTGTTGATTTCCACATAGTTATTAAAATCCAATATTTTTAATACCATATTATTTACTAGAGCAACTGAATCTTGAAAAGAAAAAAAAACACGCATTTAGTAACTCTTTTTTGAAAAGTCCGATTCGCGTGATTTCATTAATAGTCACTACTACGGATTTTTTCAAATTATTTTGTTTAACGTGATGATGATTTACAAAATGCGAAAAAAGGAAATAGTGTTTCCCAACTAAAAAATATTAGAATAAAAAAAATTACGCATTCAAATAAAAAAATTATTTTATTTGATCCGAAAGTTTTTTTTTTTTTGAAGTAGACGTTTTTGTTACTTTAATTTAGTAACATGAATATTTGCTATTTTTAAAAGTATCTTTCAGAAAGATATTAGTATTAGAGAGGTATATCGCAGAAAGCTTGAAAAAATTCTGCCACAGGGACAACTGGAAAATTAAATCTTTGTGAAGAAAAAAAACATCGCCTTCTAAGTGTGAACATTGCATTTTTAAATTATCACAAAGATAAACTGAGTGCCACATTTATATCTTTGAATATTTCATAGCTATTTCGTAATGCAATTCACTTTTAAATATGTGCATTTGTGTCAAAAAAAGCTTTTAAAATTGCAGAGATAAAAAAGCTGAGCGGAATCTAGCTTGCATAATAAACACTAAAAATTTAGCTGGAATTAAAGGGGGAAAATCAACCTTAACTTTTTGTAAGATGTTTACTAGTAAAAAATTGAAGATCTATTTAATATTTTAAGAAATTTTTTATTTGATTTTCTTTATGTTGAATAATAATATACAGTGGGCAAAAAAAGAAACGGACCACCCTGAATAACTCTTGCGATCTTAACATTCCAGGACATAATTGTTAATCATAATGTAATTTTTGAAACATTGTTCAGACAAAAAGTAAACTTACTCAAAAGAAAATTTTTTGTTTTGCAAAAAAAAAAAAAAAAAAAAAAAAAAAAAAAAAAAAAAANCAAACATTTAAAACTATCAGTAAGAAAACGAAATTCAAACTAGTTTAAATTCCAATTTTCTTTTCCCTTTTTACATTTCTGAAGGAAGAAATTATCTAATGTAAATAAGTTTTCCAAAATAAGTAGAGTTGAGATATTCTAATGAAGGCAATGGAACACACTTTGTATACATAGTAAAGTTTAGTCTTGGATGGAGCATGCATAAGAGCGCCTCCATGCTCCAAAAAGAAAGAAAAAAAATCCCCTTTGGATTAATCAATATGTAGCAAACTTTTTTAAAGTTGCCTTTTTTTCTCAATTATTCTATTTTAAATCAAAGCTTGAAATTTATGAATGGTATTTGTCAAAGGAAACCTCAGAGCAATATTCCCTAAATATTAGTTTAGAATAAATCACCTGTGGAGTATTTAATATTTTTTTTTTTAAAAAAAAAAGGTTTATAGACATTTTTACAAATATAAATAAGATTGAGGTAAAAGTATATTCCATATGGAATATACTTTTTAAAGTATAGTAAGTTCTATAATGATATGAAAATAAAACTTTTTTTATGACTGAAAAATATAAGCAATGTCAGTACATATGATAACATAGATAAATTAAGATAAAAATAATAATAAATATATCACTGTACATTTAGTTCAATATACATTTTATACAAAATTTAAATTAACAAATATAACTAAACTGAATCAAAACAACAACAACAATTGACATGGAGATACAAAATGGAATGTATAGGCAAATAAAATGCAGTTGAAAAATGGAATATATAAATACAATTGGAATTATTCACAGAAGATGTTATAAATGCAATCTTAGAAAAAGAAACACACAACATTAAAAATATCAAACCTGGCACTCTTAAAATGGCTACTGCACAAACTATTTAACCCTAACAGTTTTGTGTATCAATGCATTCAGTTATCAGTAAAAAATATCTCTTTTTTGTTTAAGTCTTTTTAAAATGACTCTCTAGCTTAACTAAGCTAAGTGCAAGATTTAGATTTTCATGTTGATGAAATGCTTAATGATTCTTATATGCCATAATAATATAAATTTAAACTATTTTCGGTAACTTCAAGTAAGGTGGAAGTTTTCGAGAGCAAAAACTGATTGCTCAGGAGGAAATGAACAAAGGGCTCAACATATATGAACAGATCATAACGGTATAAAAAATGCACTCTTAATCACAGGAAAAACTTTTAAACAATGAAAAGTTCAATTGCATCAAAGTTTTTTCCTCTTTTCTCATTTCAAACATATGACTTAAACATTTAAATCTAAAATATTTGTGACTTCAAATTTTAAAATGTACTTTTAAATAAATTTTTAAATGAAATAGTGTAAAAAAAATTATCAGTATAACTATAAACTTGTAGCAAATTTAATTGAGATAAATATGCTGGATTTTGTGACACTATTTGTTAGACTTGAATTTTTTTCTCATTATTTTTTAAAAAATTATTTGAAATAAGGTTTAAAAACAACAGCTATTTACTGTCTTTAATTATCAGTTGGGAAAAAGAATGAGATTGGAGTTGGGCGTTTTTATTACTCCTTACATTTAAAAACATTCATTGAACACTTTTTAATTCAAGAATTAAATTAAACAATGAAATACTGACCTTAAAACAGTCCTGAGCATTTATATTTTATTTTATAAGACATTTTTGTTTTATTACATATGCCTAAACTTACATCACAAAAGAATTATTTTTCGTACTTTTTCGAAATTATTTTTGAAAAATAAAATATTCATATCGGAATATGGCAATATAAAATTAATAAAACAATGGCTATAATAATAGACTTAGAAGCAGATTAATCTTGCTTGCAATTTATGGCACAGAACGATAGTTTAGACACAAAAGATTCGACTGAACCAAACTGACAGTACTCTCCTCCAATTTTAATTTTTCTACAAAAGTACTTCATACATTCATGCACCATTTTTAAAGCCAGTCACTGATAGTGCAAAATAAGAAATGAAGGGATGGAAAAGTCTCCATTATTATCTATTTTGAAAGAAACTTCACATAAAAAAGAAGAATGACATTAGTTTTAGATAGGAAATAATTATAATGAATGTAACTATACACTTTTCTTTACATTCTTCTAACATTTTGCTCAGTACTTATTTATAATTTCATAGATATACAATCTACATATATAGTTTAACTCTAAAAATAAAAATTTCCCAACTCATTTCATTGAAGAAAAATCTTTTCTTTTTTAAAGAATAATGCTAGGAATTTGATCACATGTTTTAGCCTTTTTGAAATAATAGTTTACACTATAATACTAAAAAGCAAATATTTTATTATAAATAAACATTTATAAATTATTCAGATTTTTAAACAACTGCAAAAGATAGTTGGAAACAGAATAAGGATGGAACTTAAATTGCTTCCTTAAATTCAGATTTTTAAATCCTTTTAGATATATGGTTTTCAATTTAAAAATTTTTAGTTTTAAATGCATTTAGAGTAAAACAACAATCTAAAAATTAAACTTTTCATTAAGTACAAACTAAACATTTTGGCACAAATAAGGAAATAGAACAAGTTACTGAAACATGACTTGAAGAGAGGGGTAGCTAAGGTATAAATCCAGTTTTTTTTTTCACACAACTACAATATTGTTTAGGTCTTAAAAGGGAAACATTTAATGTTTTGAATTAAGAATTTCCATTTTTGCATAATATTTTTTCTCAGACAACCTACCTTAACAAAATATAACATCAGATAGGCATTTTACTCTTTAATTATTTTAACATGAATTGGTCACATTTTTAAGGCTGGGCCCTCTTAGCTAAGCCACTAGACACTTTGTCATTCGTGTATAAAATTCTACAATAATTTTCACTTTTAAGTTTTTATAAAGCAAGTCTTTTTACTTTGCCAAATAAAGCAACTATTTTTATAAGTAGAGCACAAACAAAAATTAATCACAGCTTGAAATAAATAATTCTACAACATCCACCAAGCATTAGTCGACTATTGTTGTTAAGTGTTAACATTTATTATTATTAAAAAAAAAAGATAAAATGAGCTACAAAATTGAGACACTGTATCATTCTTTAAACTTTTCATTTTTAACTTGAGAATTTATTCAATTCATAATATTAAATAAGTAATTTTCACTAGCAAAAGTATTTAATCCAATCTGGAAACTGCTTTATATCAAGTGAATATATCATAAACACATTGAATTTATTAAATAATGGATAATTTAAAATACATTAAAATAAAGAGAGAGAGAATGTTCAACTTTAATTTATTTAATTCTTAAAATGTAATAAATTATGTGCGAATTATTAGACTATCAAAATTATTAAAATTCTGTGTTAATCATTAAAGTAAGCTTGAATTATTTTACTCATGATTTCATTCACTTATAATTTTTAATGATTTCTTTTTAATTTAAGAATTTATGTAATATAAATATATAATATAAAACAAAAATAATTACTTGCAAAGCATTTAATCAAATTTTTAGCTTTTTTTAAAAAATTAGAATTTCCAATTATTTTTTATATAATTTCAGAAAATAGGTTGAATTTTTTAAACTACAAATAAATTTTAAATGCCTTAAAAAAAAAAAAAAAAAAAAAAAAGAGAGAGAGGGAATGTTTTATTTAATTCTTAAAATGTAATAAATTATTGAACTATTCAAAAATTTTTTGTTACTCATTAAACTAATCTTTGAACTGTAGTGAATAACAAAATAAAAGCTTTAGACTTTCTTCAAGAGGTGGTGTAGGTCTAGTAGTTCTGGAATGACGATATCCTCCAGTTGAATGTTGGAAGGATTGAAGGGAAATCGTATAGGATAGGCATATTTGGTATCCATAAGAAGAGTGCTTGGTCCCATGGCTGGAGACTGACCAGCAGCTAGCCTCTCTTCATCCCGCTTTTGAAGGCAAGCCTGTATCTTGCGAATAAAGGACACAGGTACACGGGTCTCGTATTCATCAGCTGGAGTGTACAAATTGAGGATCTTGATAATCTGAAATTATTTAACATTTATAATTATTGATCCAACATGTCTTGAGGACCTAATCTTAAAACCTTCTTTCAGTCTTAAAATATAAGGAGATAGCAGCAATCTGAAACAGGCAGGACACAGGACAGCAGTCAAAACCCTTAAATGCTAATTTCATGTCCAGTGTAATTCACGATATATTAAAACTTTTACAGCAAATCAAAAATATTTTGCGTACGATAATAAAATTTGTTATCAAAGTTCATTTCATTCAAATAATAACTAATAATTAATTTTTTATTATTTTATTTAATATAGGTCGTTAAAATTTTTAATTTTGAAGTACAGAAATACAGTTGAACCTGCTTATCTTGAACTTCCTTATCTCAAAAACCTCTTTATCTCAAAATTTCTAAAATTCCTTACATTTACTGTCTAAAATCAATGTATCTTACATGTTTATGTCGATTTTTTTTCAAAACCTCCGTCTCTCGAATTTCTAATAATAGAGCAGAAATGTCAAAACTTTCTATATATGGAACTCGTAGACAGAGATGAATTTCGTGAATCCACAGGAAGTACGCATGAACAGGTTGGAGGTGTTTCTTGGAATTTCAATCACTATCCCTGCACTTCTTTAACTAGAAAGGAACACAATGATTCTGGCAGTAAGAAAGGGGTTAATGAGTAGTGACGATCAGGGGTTAGCTTTTCAACATAGATAAGAAAGCTAAGAATAGAAATTCATTTTCACCTCAAAATTGCAACCAATGGATCAAAGGATAATTAGGAATTTTAAAGTGAACTACAGAAAACAGTTGGTATGTAAACTTGTAGATGCTATTGATGAAAAAAGTTAGATGCTATCAGAATTACAGTTCTGCCTGGAGAAATGCGTCTCAAAAAAACTATCCAAAATGGTTTTAAAAAGCTGGTTTTAAGAATAGCTGTGAAGATGATGAATAAGAGGTTGAAGGCATCAGTAAAGAAGAAGAAAATGCTAACGCTGAAAATGCAGTGGCAGATTTGCCAAAATGGAATGCAATAAAATCTGGATTTAATGTTGACGTTAATTTTGAAGATTTTTACAAGTGGACAACTACCTGGCAACATGCGGAACATTAGCAGATGCGGAAATCATAGATAATGTCAAAGAAATATAAGATGAAGAAGCTGAAGAAAGGAATATTGATGAATCAAAAGTGAATGCAAAAGAAGTAGAATTCTTATAAACTATTCTTGAATGCCAGGAAAATGTTGGCTATGAGGAATTTGCGATCTTTCTAACCTCAAAAGAATAACCGAAACAAGGAAGGTTACACGTCAAAAATCGTGGAAAAATTATTTTCAGTGTTAAACGTATGTTAAGAAACTGTTATGTAAATAGATGTATGTGGTATAATTAATTTCAAGAAATGTCTATATTTTTCTACTAAAACCTATTAAAGCACTTTTAATAGAATTTCTTAATTAAATTTAATTTTTTTAAAGTACTTGTACATTTCAAAACCTTTTTATCTCGAATTTTCGGCCTTTCCCGTGAGATTCGAGATAAACAGGTTCGCCTGTATTTGCATTGTTCCATGGTATGCATACATTAGAAAAAATAAAATTTCACTGCAATCAGTAGAATAGTTTTCAAAAAATCAAATTTCGAAGTCAACAACTTTTTAAAATTAAAGTATTTACAAGTAACACCCTAATATGAATAGACTTAATGGGAATGCCTGCAAAGGATATCAGTTAAATATATCAGAGCAATAAATCAGTTTAATTTTAGAATTTTGTCTTATAATATTTTTTTCTTTATAAGTTAATAATCTTTACAGCTATATTTTATTTTTTAAAGTAATTAGTTGTATAAATTAAGAGCATATGTAGAGCAGTTATTAGCTTACATATTTAAATTAAAAATTTTCTCTCATTTTAGTTAAGTTATATAAGTTTTTATAGTTTTATTTTTTAAAGTAATTAGCTGTATTTATTATGAAAATAGGTATTGCAGTGTTTAATTTACATATTTGTACAACAAGAAATTTATGTTTAGAAAATGCAAACAAATATAGAGAATATCTGTGTTTTGGCCAATTTTTATGTAGAAAGAAAAATTTCTGAACATGAACTACTTTTAACATAATGTTTTTTTTCCCCCTTTGAGTTGACGTTAATGAAGTTTGACTGTATATAAATTCGGAAATTTTCCCGTAACCAAATGTATTTGGTATACTTAATATTTATTTGTAAATTCCTGACATATATATATATTCTAAAAAATATGAATATTTAAAGTCTCAAATTAATACTATATAAACAAGGATATTATACTAACATTATCTAAGGTCTATAACTCACTACTGAGGAGGTGAAAACATGAAAGCCTGTTTGATTGCCAGAATAGTTGAGCAGTGTTTAATAAAAACACACTCAAGATTCATAATGAATTTAAACTTTTTTCAGAACTGTCATTCCGAGGAATGACTTCAATAGAGACAGAGGATTTTTTCTAGTTTTCACATTTATTTATTCTTTATTTACTCCTTTTTTGACCCATGTTTTAAAAGTTCCGAAAGAGTGTTCTGTCTAGCAGAAAAATACAGGTCCCTACACTCCCTGATGAGCCCATCAATATTTTTGATCATTATTTAAATAATTTTCCTTTAGAGATGAACTTCTAGCTTAGCCAATTTTTTCTATTCCACTTCTTACAGGATATCTGCTACATTTTAGATTTTCAAATCCATGACTAATTCCAAGAATTTTTCACGACTCCACGAAGTTACTATTTCCTCAAACAAAAACACAACAATAAATTTAAAAAAAGTATTATAATAACATTAATTGAAATGATAAGTATAACCAAAACTGTTATACTCTGCATCTGCATATTTAATGATTTTCCACTTAAAAAAACAGAGGGAAGAAAGAGTTGAAGCAATAAAATAGTTGAAAAAATACAGAACCAAATAATTTTCTTCTTCTTTTGTTTTGCAGAATAATACTCTAAAGACAATTTTCCAAGAAAGACGATCTCCAAGAAAGACAATTTTCTTGGTCATGAGAAAGGAAAGAAGTACTAGTAATTTTTCTGTTCTTATTTCGGAATATAAAAAAATTCGCCAATGTCTGGCTTGCTTCAGATAGAATTTTAAATTGATAAAATAAAGAAATAAAAACAATTCTGAAATCACAGAAGTTTAAAAGATAATTCACTATAGAAATTATGCTCTTTCTTTCATATTTTGAAAGAACACCATAATTTTTAAAGAACAGGATAAAAACATTTTATATTTAAATAAAATATGACAGTGAATGGGGTTTTTGTTACAAATTTAGATATTCGGAACACCATGAAATTGGGGGGGGGGGGGAATTCCATTTTAAAAATTAGAATTTTTGGCAACCCAAATCCATGAGTTTTCATGATTAAAAAAAAATAGTGGGCGGATACCCTGAATATACTCTGAGCTCAAAATTCTGAGTTGTTTGGATTCAAATTCAAACTACCTGCATTTTTTTTAAAAAAAAAAAAAAAAAAAGTTAAAATCAAGGCAAATTTTGTTCAATCCATAACTTTGGAGGTGCACGGATACCCAGTTCTTACAACCAAAATATTTCTTGAAAAAAGAATTATGAGACTTACTTGGGAAGTAGTAAGCTTATCACACATGTCACAGACGCTTTGAATATCTTCGTCTGTCTTGCGAGCTTGAAGTAGTTGAGACGCTTGCACAATGGGTTGGAGAGTCTCAATAACTCCACAGTCTTGCATATGTTGATCCCTAAACCACTGTTCCAAGTGGCTCAGGTTGTACCTGAAAACAATATCTTTATGTAATTATGACAGAGTCATTCATTAGTGCTCTCATCATTTTAATTAAATAATTTACCAGAAGAGCACAAAAACACATAAAAAAGAATTTTTGGTCTCGGATTTCACTTATTGCAGTTTATTTTTAAAATATTCAGCTGCTATATGTTTGAATAGTGACGAGTATGCAAAGAAGCTAATTTAATGAATCATTTTTGCTTTTTAATCAAATATAAATTTATAATAAGCATTTATTTTTTATCTAGGATTTTTATTCCTCAGCAGAACTTAAAATGTTTGAAGTGTGTCCGGTATAGTTTTGTGGGAAAACAATTGATGAGTTTTGGAGAGAGATGATCAACAATGAAGTGCCACTTTTGTTTGAGTAGGGGGGGGAGGGCAAGCCTTCATGAACTTTATTCGTTTTATTATTTTAATATTATAATTATTATTTGTCATTATCAAATTTATATCTGTAATAGTTGCATAAACTAGCACAGGTGGTTATGACGGCTGTAATTTCACACCATCAAATTAGTTAAAAAATGATTTATCAATGAATTAATGTTATAATTTTACTCCTTTAAATTTGTGAATGCTGAGATATACATTTTAAAGATAAACATTTGATCATAAATAACAGAAAATAGTTTTTTTTCCATTTCATACACACTTTGTTTTAGGCTTAGTTTAGTATTTATAGTGTGCTATAAATACTAAGTATACTTTAGTATTTATAGTGTTATAGTTAGTTTAGTATTATTATTCAAGCGTACATTTGAATGGACTGAATGTGCAATTATGTTTACAATGTATTAGAATTAACTTTGAATATATAATTAAATTTTGATGGTAAAAGAAAATATAGGCCAAAAAGCATATAACAATGTAATAATACATTTTAAAATATTGTTATTCAAAGCAAAACCGCTTGATATATTTTTTGAATTTGTTTTTCTTCCTAAAATTATCAATTTTACTTTACTTTATTATTTCTCACGAACGCCTATATATCAGAAGAGGAAAGCACGTTATTTGAATTTTTACTTATATTTCAGAGGAATATAAAGTTTTCTATCTGAAATATAGCTTCATAGTTGAAATAAACAAATTATTTTTATCATCTAAAATTACTAATTTTAATTCAGTTTATATTTTCGCAGATGTCAAATTTTCAGAAAGGGGCAAAGCCCCCTTACCTAAATTTCAGCGAAAGCGGCTGCCCCCACCCAGGGCTGTTAGGCCACTAACCATCATAATATCATTATTTAAGGGCACATTTACTTCCTTTTCTTTTTCTTTGTTAAAATTAAATAATTTAATAACTGAATTTAATTTTTAAAACCTGGAAATAACAAGATGGTTTATTGAGTAATATAATGTGTAATTGTCCTTGGCAATGAAACTAGATAATAAATCTAAAATTATTTGAATAAATAACAAGTGAAATTTTATATTATTGCCTGAAAGAAATATTGAGTGTGAATTTTGAAAATGAATACTGTATTATATACTGTACATTAATTATTTTTTGTATTACATATAGTAACTAGGTAACATAGAAAATTTGATTCTAATCAAATCAACTGAGTGGTTCAGGAGAAATAAAAGTCATTCGTTAAAATTTTTATTCCTCAAAAGTTTTCATTACATTTCGTTGAAACATTGGATTTTGTTTAACACAATGTAAACTTTTTTTTAAAAACTTTATTCCATCAGTTTCCATTTCCTATCATTACTGAATTAATTATTAAAAATTAATACAATTATTTAGTCAATATGATTTGGTTATTTAATTGATATGAGGTTTGATTTATATAGTATCTGATTTTTTCGCCATTCATTATTTAAAAACTAGCTTTTTTAATGGGGGAAATAAAAATTTAAGAAAATAACTTTTGTTTGAATTCATTTAAAACCAAACTTGTTTTTGTAAAAAATTGGATAAAAGAGACAAGATTCTTTTGTAAAAAAATTATTAAAAGAAGGTAATTTTTTTCCTCAACACACTTTCAATAATAATGCCCAAAAATTCTATTTCTAAATTTAATTTTTTTTTATTAATAAAATGAGACAGAGTAATTATTGAGAAAAAATTAAGAAAATTTGTACGGAGATATGCATTATGCAATAGAAAAAATCAGTAACTCAGTAGAGTTTCTGATTTTAATCCTAGTAGAGTCTCGATATTTCGAGCTTCCCGTAAATCTGAGATAGTGAAAAAAAAATCAGTCTTGCTCCTGAACTATGACCAACATACACACAACACGTGGAACGATTAGTACGATTGGTTTTACAATAATTACTATGACTGAATGTTGAAAAACAAATTTGTGTGTTAAGCACTGAAAAGTGTGTACAGTGAGTTTAAACAAAAAAAAAAAAAAAAAAAAAAAAAAAAAAAAAAAAAAAAAAAAAAAAAAAANTGATGCAGTAATATAATGTAACTTGGTGTAATGCAGTAAATGTACAATTTAATGTAACTAAATTTTCCTTAAATACAATATATAATATCAATTGAAAGCTGAAATTAAAAAATTGAAATTGAAAGAAAAATTGAAAGAAAATTGAAAAATTGAAAGAAAAACGGAAAGTTCTCTTATTCATGGATCAATGCCCTGCTTATCCACAAGACTTATCGAATTTCAATAACACGAAAATTGTTTTCTTTCCTGCAAATTGCTCTAGCAAAATTCAACCCTTGGATCTAAACATCATCCGTTGTGTAAAAGTGCATAATAGAAAAACTTTAACTCGTATTCTTTTGGCTGTCATGGAAAAAAAACTTCAGGCAAAAGACGAGCCAAAGCAAATCACTGTCCTTGATGCAATATACATGTTGTGCTCATCATGGCTTTAAAAAAGCGAGATTACTGCTTCCAGAAGAATCTGAATGTGAAGAGCCAGAAAATGAAAACGACATTAGTGAAGAGGATTGGAATACTGTGTCTGGTGAAATGGGTACTTGTACTTTCAACGAATTCGTTGAGGTAGATGAGCATTTAATTACAGCTCAATTGCGAGATAGATATTGGAGAAATTGCAGCTGAAATAAATGGTGGCAACAAGGATGAAGAAATAGACGAGAATGATGAAGAAGATACCACAAAAGTTCCCCAACTCACACAGCCGCTTTAGAGGCACTAGAAACTCTGTGTGATTATTTTCAATTTCATTCTGGAAGTGAAGGAGCTTTTTGAAGCCTCGATGGACTCGAAAAGGCTCTTTTTGAAAACTCCCAAAAACGAAAACAAACCTCGATTGTAAATTATTTTCCAAAAAATTCATAATTGGAATAAAAAGTGAAATTTGGGTATGTAAGCATTTTAATTTTCTTCAACTAATTTATTTATAGTTAAATCTATTGAAATTTGAATCTCATCTTATTTAAATGATCAGTCAAGTATACATAGTATCAATTCAAATATGTTGCAACAGAGGGCTCGATAAATGAGGGTAACTAATGGAAAGAAAAGGTAGAAAATGTTTGCATGGTAAATTATTAATTTCTTTCACCATCCATTTTTTGGCAAGTTTATAATTTTGTTTAGTTTTTTTTTCGTTATCCACATGATCAGAAACATTTTTGGTTCAATTTCAGAGATGAAGACTGAAATCTCTCACAAAATGGAATGGATGATACATACCTAATTTGCATGCCTTTAGACCAATGGCACATATCTTTTCTTAGAAGTAAATTATTCAGAGCACCAGCACAGATAAAGTAGAAAAGCTATGAATTGATAAATAAAATAAATAAATACAAAAATAAATATATTCGTATAATTTTTTCATATCACAAATAAAGAGACATACTTGTTTATACACTTGACATATAAGTTCAGGATCTACTCCGTGAATGCTGAGTACTTTAAAGAATACACCCATCTGAAAATTAAAAAATTTCTTAATTAACAATTTTATTCTCAAGCTTGTATTGTTAAAAATCAACAAATATAAAAAGTCACAATAATGCCCAATAAAATTACCAATAAAACCAGGTAAATTTATAATGAAATCATATCTAATGTTATTATTTAAAAATGCAATTTAAAATTTGAGTGTTGAAATAATGTCATATTAAAAACATCAGAGTTTTAAATAACATGCCGAAATTAGAGGTTGGAGGGGAAAAATCATGTAGAAAATTAGTGTTAAAAAATTGAGTGATTGACAAAACTGAGAGAATTTATGGTTAAATTGACAAGAGTCATTGAAGACAGAAAACCACATGGATTTATAATGAAATGTAATGTATTTTTTTCTTTAATATCACTGTCAGATTATTAAGTAGGATAAGGGTCTATGGCCTGCAAATGCATCATCACAAAATGTTATTTTTTTTTCTGGAACACATTTTGTATAATTAGAAGTATTTAATTTCATAAAATTACATATTATTAAGTTGGCTGATAAAAAAAGGTTCTGGAACAATGATGTTCATATAAAAATTAACGCAAATTGCAGTCAACATTGTTAAGTCCTAGGATATGTGGCCTTGCATTTAAAAAAGTTGTAAAACTCTTTCACACAGTAAATTATTACTCATGTATTGCTACGATTTATTTCGGATACATCGAGTAAATGTCTGGTTTTAAACTCTTATTTTTATTGATAAATATCTAGACATTATTTTTGGAGTTATAATGGCTCAGTTAATATCATGAATGATATAAATTGGTATTTATTAAAAAACTTTTGCAATAATATATATTAATTTCTGTCATTAGACAGAAATGTAAATTGAGTCGAAAATGTCGTCCAGATCTGAGTTATGCTCCCACCATCTGAGATAACGAAAACATGTAAAAGACTAATGTGTCTACCTCTCGTAAAAGAGTGTCAAGTGCTGCTTGAGGGTCCACGGGTGACTCAATCTCTCTTGCAACGCTAGATGATCTGCCTCTCATACCTGATGGTTTGTTACCAAACATGCCACGGATAGCTTCGTGTTCAAGTATTGCAGGCACTGAAAAGGTCATTTAAAAACTGTTAAGAAGGTCTCTAATTTTATCTTACAATATATACATATGCAGGGTTCACACCTGGGTGACATGGTGACAATTGTTGCCAAAATCACACACTAGGGCGACAAATTTGTCGTCTTGAAATAAGCTTGGAATTTATAATATAGTAAAAAGAGTAGTTTTTTGCATTGAATTCAATGCATTTAAATAAATTTGTTGCACTATTTTGTATTTAAATTTGTTCCATTTGAATGGAATTCAAATGGAATAACAGAAAATGTCTGGTACAAAAATTTTGAAACCTAAATGTTTAAATTTCAAATTTACATGTCGTGCTGTGTTTTGCATTCATTTACTGGCAGTAAGATTTTCCACCCATAAAATAATATTTTTTTGCTCCTTTAGAATTGACTTTATTTAAAATTTTATTAATTTCAGATAATTAATATTTAGTAATTTGTTAGTTCTTACTTTTGCTGTTTTCTTGATTTATCTCTTTGGTCTCAGCATTTTAATTTTTATGCTAAATTTATTTAGTAAAATTACTTTAGTTATTTTTTTGCGCTTAATTTTAATAGCTATTAATCTTCAATCATTATGGGCTAATGAACAAAATTAGTTTTAGGGTGTTATAGAAGGAAATTAGTAATTTTTGATGAATACCATAACATGAACTACGTAATTATAAAGTTTGACTTTTCTTAAGTTCGTCGATCATATTAATTTTTTGGCCTACTAAAGGAATACCTAGGTGCTCCTATTGGACCACTAAAGTTTCATTGCTGGTGTGAACCATATATATATGTGCGTGTATTGAGAGGAATTAGTGCCTAAGGGGTTGTTGAAGAAATACACAATTAATGCTAAGGCTATTTAATTAGGCATTATAGGAGGATCCTTACAACAACAGGTTTTTAAACCAGACTAGTTGTGAGGATGTGTGTTATATCTCCGGGGCAGATGGCGCTGCTGTCCCTGGGGTGTTAAGCCTATAACACTCGCTCATCTTGATCTGGTTGGTCCCTGACCTAACTGTAAAGTGTACGTTCAAAAAAGACAAAACAACTGAAAGTAAAGGAATTTTTTTTAAATTTCATTAAGAAAAAATATTAATTCATTAGTTTCTGAATAAAAAGTTTTTTGGAATTGTCCATCTGCAGATGTGGAAGTCTACCTGTATTCTTGCTTGTCCCTTTTCACAATTTTTATAAGGGGCCAAACACCAGTCCTACATCAAATGGAATTTTTTTTATAGCTACCATGTCTACCACTTTGTTTCTTTTTGCAGTCTATTGCTTACTTTGTTCATGGAACTTATTTGATTTGGCATCAACTTTCATTTGTTTCTTACTCTGTAGTGATTCTTTGATTTTGATGTCCATTTTAATTTTGTTAGAAGTTGAAATGGTGCATATTTGACCGCTATTGATCACTCATGTTTGATTCATTGATTTGGATTTTCAAGAAAGAGTTTTGTTAAAACTGATGTCCTTGAATTTGTTCATTTTCATGTGGTACACTTCTTGTAGTGATTGAAATAAATTCTTTCATCTTGGCTTCTGTTAAAGTGAACGGTCCTACAAAAATCTATAAGATCTGGCGCACACCAACCCTCAGAAATGATTTCGTAGTTTGTTTAGAACGAATTTGCAATCTGGCTCTCTTATTTAATGCAAACATATTTTAGTAAAACTTTGCACCCATAGTTTTTTTTAAAATAAAGTTTTAAACGTATGAAACATCCACCGAAACCTTCGATTCGGATACATTTCGGTACTGTGGGTTGTCTGTTGTCTCGTAAGTATGAAAATTTTCTGTGACGAAAATTAGTTAAGCATCCCTAACGTCGATAATAGTTTTAGCAGGCCGTGTCGGGTCAAGGGTTAGAGTACTCCCCGCCCGATGAGGGAGGACAGGTGGTATTCCTCTTTATGAAAAGCAAATGTGGGTTAGTTTGCCCCAACTCTTGATCCAAACATTAAAATAAAAATTTCATTCATTGTACAACAAAATGTAGAAAGAAACACAACTGTGAATTTAGGTGATGGATGGCATGACAAGAATTAAGAAGTTTCGTCTATGGTAAAGCTTATCTAAATAGAGAAAGTTTGTGCTTAAATTTAAAAGGTTTATTAAATATTTTCTTTAATGTTGAAACAAGGAACTTCCGCTCCTTGTTGCTAATGGGAAGAAAAAATATTTATCAGTTTGGTGGCAATATTACTGCGTTTTTGTATGAAACAGATATTTCATATTATAAATAGACAGAATTTCATGGAACAAAAACGACTGTGGGAAAGAGCTTTCTTTATAGTTATCTTATATTATAAGAGCTGAGTGACCGCGGCTATTGTGTCCTGTGTCAGTGGGTCTTCAGGAATTGTATTTTGCAGTTATCGACCGCAATATTAAAAGTTATGACGCTCACTTTCTTCCGCTTCTACAGGAATTATTTTGTCAACATTTTAGGAATAACCTCTCATCAGTTTTTCTCTTAATCAACTTTTATGTATACTCTTAATTAAAAAAGGGTTAGGACTGCAATTTGGAATTATCTCTCCCAAACAGGCAAAATGTGTCATGAAGAAATTTCCCCCAGTGAATCAACTAAAAGTATTTATTTCATTGACATGATCATTTCGTAGCGATGCATCATTTTGAAACTACATAAAGTATTTTTTATTTCAGTGAAAAATCTTATATTCGTAATCGTCAAGACTACAAGTCCAGAAAATAGATTTTTCTACATAATAGGTATTTAAGGCAAACCAGTATGAAAATACATCTTATTCAATAAAAAATAACAAATAAAGGATAGTTAATATCAACAATGTATGACTCCAGGTGGATACTTTCACAGCTTTTATTACAGATTTTCACTCGGTTTTTAAAATGTTGATATTTTAATATGCCATTATAACATACCGCAATTTCAGTTAGTAATCATTTCTCGATTCCACAGTGAAGTGAATCTTCCTGGTTTGTGTTGCTCCTTTCTTGGTTTATATATAAATAGCCCTTTTATATAAAGCCCTTAGTATATAGCCCTTAATATATAAATAGCCCTTTTTTAATACCATATCATTTTGTTCGGGGGGAATGGGGAAAAGAGTTTTGCTTATTTTGATTGTTAAAAAGTGTCTGGAAAAAAGAAGTCGTTCGGAACTTTGTACTGCATAAAAATATTATTACACAATTTTTTTTTATACAAAGTTGCAATTTTCAAAATGAAAGTTTGAGATACTGTCCACCTCAAATCAAGGAGTATTATTGATAAGTTTTGAAAGATAGTCATTTTCATAAAAGAATTTTAGCTAAAACAATTGCAAATATACCAATTAAAGGCTGAACTCTTTCTTCCATAAGTTTGATGACAGCTTGATAGATCCAGACAGCAACATCACTCAGCACCTGCCTGTATTCGGAGAGATCGAAATTCCTCAGGCACTGCTCATTTTGCTTTGGCGTATTTTCCATTTGGAAGGCCTGTTGGGAAAAGATATTTCATAACATTTCTTAATTCATAAGTAAATTTTAGTAATGATTCATTTTTAAAATTAATGTATATTGTATAGTTGTTACAATTGTTTTTAGTAAATTACTTTTCTAAAATTTTAAATACTTTAAAGTTTCAAACACTTAACAGATTCTATAATTTCCAGAGCTTGAATTAATTTTGAAAAAAATTAAAATTTATATTGATTTATGAAATGTAGTAATTCATTTAATTCTAATGATTAAAAGTTTAAAATTAGAATCTGACCATTTTCTTGAAAGAGCTGAATTTATTTGTTTAGAAGTGAGATTATGGGGGAAAGGGGTGACTTTTTGTACACATTTAAAGATGTTGATTTTTCAAATCATGGGAGTCAGTTATGTGAAACAAGACACACATTACTGAACTATTCATTGAAGCAAAGGTCTTTATTACATCATTAAAAATAAAATTCTTTAATAAAATAAAAGATTTGTTGTTTTCAAAAAGTGTAACAACATAATTAAAATACTACAATCAAAGTATGTAACAACATTATTAATGTGTAGTATCATTCAATCAACATATAACAGGCTGCAAGGGTCATTTAAGTAAAAACCTTCTGCAATAGAGTAAGAGAAACTTCATTTATATACATAAATTGTATCACCCATTAAAATAAAAACATTTATTGTCTTTTCAATATAGTCATCGTTAGCACCGACACGAGTCGTCACCCCAGCCATCAAAGAAATCTGCCGTCTGATCGCTGAAACATTTCTTTCAACATGTCATCATTTCTCAAGCATTTTCCACTAAGAAATTCCTCAAGTTTTTGAAATAGTGCTAAATCAGGACCGTACGGTGAATGACCCACCAACGTACTTCCGAAAGAGAAAGTTGTGTCTCTGCTTTTTCCGCAGCCTGAGGCCGAGCATTTATAGATTTAATAATGTACCTCTCATAATCTGTTGTCATTGTCTAACAGAAGAACACCTTTCTATGCTGAAAGTCTTCTTTACAATTTTCGGTGGAGTTTGAATGGATTGATTCTCTGGAGTGCAGTAAACAATACACGTTTCATCACTGAATAACTCCTTGCGAATAGCTCTTTACTCCCTTTGTTTTTATTATTCTGTCAACATTTTTGGCACCCATCTTTTTTTTGTAAAGAAGTTTATTGGTAACGTTGAGATAAACTACTGACATTGAAACGTGTGGAAATTTTCAATGAAGACTGATCCCTGATTTGAAAATATGCTACACCGAAAGAGAATGAAAAAAAAGATAATAAATTAAATAAGACAGAGGTTTTAAACACTTATTATAAATATAACTTCAAAAATTTTAAGAACATTGTTTTAAAAGCCTTTTTATTCTCAGTGGCTGTACTGTCATCGTGAAGTTTGATTCTCGATGGTGGCTCGAAGCCTTCTCGGTTTCAGATCCGTCGGTACCAGTGAGATCGATGCAGACTATCTTGTCAAAAACATGCGATTGGTTACAAAAGTGGGGAGCTTTACCCACCATACCTGTTGGGGGAATGCTTATCAAGAGAAACTGGGGAAGGAGCAGACCATTTAGAGTAAGATCCTACCAGAATAGTTTTTTGATTAGTTATCAAAAGTCATAATGTACCAGATTTTATGTGATCAAAACAAAACAAAAAACTTACTTTATCTCCACTGTACTGTTTGAGGTTGTGCAAAAGCCGACAGGTGTTGGCAAGCCACACGATCGAATAATCTAATTCTTCGTGCCGTTTCTAAAAGAAAGAAAAAAAAAATCAAACGTCGACTGTTTTTACGATAAGAAGAAACTTAATTGCACCAAATATTAAAGATAAGTACATATTTATTTGTCATTTCTAGAAAAAAGTAAGAAGCAAACAAAAATATTTAAACATTTACAAATTTAGTTACTTTCCTAATAAATAAAATTTTCTTTCAAAAAATGTTACTTTAACAATGTCACATACGATCAACAGTGCATAAAAAAATAAACAAAATGCCCTGAATAACTTTTGATCTAATGATCAAATTTTCAAGTACTAAGACTCAAATCTTTATGATCCGAGTACGACCTCAAATATGGTAGTAAATGAGTGCAGATGATATTTTAAGCTACAAAACGTACTTTCACTGAACCTATGTTCAACGGATTTCTTCTACCCCACAAAATATAGGTGGTAGCTGCAAGCTGGGAAACTTCTGCGTTTTGCTTAACCTAAGACATAAAGTCACAGGGCAATAAATACTTATAACTAAAAACTAATTAGAAATTAATGTAAATGTATTAATTGTAAGTATTCCAGATTTGTGCATGATTTAGTAGAACTTATTAATATTGACAATTTACTTTTTTTCTCCCCCACATAAGGCTTTCCTCAATGAAATAGATATCCCACAAAAACAAATTGAAAGAAATGCTATATTACACAAGAACAAATTGTTAAGATAAGTCATTCTAATTTCTCATAAATCTATCACTTCTTCTTATCTCCCCCTCTGCAGACCCTAATGGGTGGTCTGTCTAAGCCCCCATCCTCTAGCATCCACCATGTAAAAGGGGATAAGTACAAACGATTTGTAACTTACATATTTTGTAAGCAAACATGCATTTTTGTGTCTCATTTTGAAGCTTAAAATATAGTTTGCTCTACCTACATGGCATATTTAAAGTTATGTTCGAGAACCATTTAAATTGAATTCTTGTATGTGAAAACTCGATCATTAGATAATAAGTTATTCAGGGTGTGTTGAAGCATTTTGAATGTGTTAGTGGTAGTTGTCAAATATAATAGAGCCTTATGTCTCTAAATTGGTATCTTTTCTTGCCTTTAATGACCAAAAATTGCAAAATTTTGTCTAAAAATACTTAAAATAATTAATTGATAATTAAAGTGGTCATAGATGACTTAAAATTTACTATATCTTAACAAGAATATTAGGATTATAATTTAATACCGCTTGTCATATGAATGACATTGGGATTCAGAATGAAATAGAGATTGACTTTATGTTCAAATATTAGAAACACTTTTCAAATTCAACAAGCTCTGTTGACAGCGTATTTCCTTTTTCAATAATACTTTTCAAAAGAGTACTTATTTGTGTAGTCATCCATATTTATGAAGCAAAACAAATATTCTGCAATTGCTCATACAAACATGAGTTTTTTCTGACTGTAAAAAAGATTCAACCAACAAAGCAGGAGTAAATCTATTCCAAGGGTGGCTACTCAAAACAGATTTCAAATTTCCCTGATTTTTCCAGGTAAAAATCTTAAAATTTCCAGGTTTGTGTTTTTTCCCCTTTTTTCTTATAAAGTGTAGGATGTGTACAAGAAAAGTGTCTGTATTATAAAATATCTTATTCAAAATGTCATTTTTTTAAACATATCTTGAAAAAAAAAAATCATTTTTTTACAAGATATTTTTTTATTATTTTTTAATGGTCTGGTACAACATTAATTTTTAAAAAATTAAGATGTGGAGAAAATAATATGTTTAGCTTGCAGAATATATTGTTTTTATTGTATAATTTTGATTGTTTTTATTGAATTTAATGTGTTACTTTAAGTAGTATTTGCTCAAAGTGTACCTACAAAATCAGAATAACCAATAAAACCTTGGATAAATACTGTTTAATATATTTTCATTCAGGAAAAGAAAATCATTTCAGGTGATTATATATCAATAATTTTTAATAATTACAGTGGCTCCCAAAGTGCTCACTGACTTATAACTTATATTGAAATAGGAAATAAAAATTCAATAATTAAAATGAATATTTCACAATGGGTATTTGATAAGAAGATGGGCAATTCCATGAAAAAGGGGAAAAGCATTGGAAAATTCAAAAAAGAATAATGTTATAATTTTGGATGTTTTCTGAATTATAAAGGTTTGAAGTTTGATAATTTATAATTATTTTTTTTGAGAATTTAGTTTTTTAGTGTTGGTAACCCTTTGAACATTGGCATTTGCTTGTTCTGATTTGGGTGAAGAACATGGTCAGTTTTTGAAAATCAGTAAGTTAACATTATTTTAATTTCAAAATGTTCCAAAGAATAAATATTGTTTATTACACTTAATAGAAATATTGTGCAGTGTTAAAATAAGTTTTTGTTGTTAAAGTCACTTAATTATATAAATTTCAACTAAACATTAATGCATGTAACGTAAGTTACCGAAAACTAGAAAAAGTTTTTGTGTGTAAAAAAGAACAAGT